TCTCATTACAGTGGTATTAATTAGAAACCGGGCATTAACACTGATTGATAATATTGTTCGCTAAGAATACGAATTTAAAATTAGATTAAGTGAAAATATTAACAATAATATAGTAATGAAAGGAAAAATAGGGCCGATTACTTGGTTATATATGTTCAAACCAAATTAACTTTTAACAGTTTGAAAAAATTTGGACATTGGGTATATGATATTCATTATAATAAAGGTTTTCTTGTATTTCCCAATGAATGAATGAAAAACAAAACGATATTGTTGTGTGCTTACTGACGTTTCGCTATTTAATGCTGCTACCAATAGCTTTATCAGAGTAGTAATATTGAACCAGAATTTACAAAATCTCAGCTTATATATAACAACTTAATCATCGTTCATTAGTATGCGGTCACTTTTATGTTGTCAAATTGGCCATTTGGTAAAGATAACAAAACCAGGTGTAGATTGTTGGATGTGATAAGTGTATAAAATTATAAAATCAGCGTGTGTTTACATAATAAAATTGCTTACCAATCATATTCGTGTTGATTTTGTCATTACATGGGGGAGTGGGGTGTTGTAACCAGGTGAAATTCTGTTTTAGTCCATCATTCCTATTCAGACACTATTGAGACAATTTGGATCCCATTTGATATGAAGTACTTCTGATGAAATGAGACGTTCTTTGTGATTTCTGAAATTTTTCTGGATTATTTCAATTTTGTGGCCTGATTATATAGCGTGTAGACCCTTGGCTGGCTGGTGATTTTTCAAGCTTCTGTAGGTCAACTGGATTTCTTGATCGTCGAGCAGATGCTCTACGGTGTTCATTTCTTCTCATTTTGATTTTTCTTTGACGACGCTAATCCGATGTATATTGCATCACATTCGGTTTACTTAGTGGTACGCAGTAAGTTGGTAGTTTCCTCCCTTACACACTTTTAACATCACAAAATGTGTCCCGGCCGAGTAAGGTAATGTAGAATTTTCATACTTAGTCGTCCAAGCATATTGTCTTCTATAGTTGCTTCTAGTTCCCCCTACTTGATGAAATGCAGCAAGAAGAGAGTTGTGTCTAGAGAGGATGGATACTCAGAGTCCGACAAGACAATTTCCGTTTGCATATTTCTTGCATGAGTTCATGTGTCTATCTACAACAGTATTAACGAGTTGGTTTAGCAACACCCCACTCCCCCTACTGATGGCTTTTCGTGACCTTCGCAGTTTAACAAAGTCTATCTTAAGTAGCCCAGGGGAGATTAAGGGGGAGTGGTAAAGTAGAATAAAAATAGAATACAAGAGTCTACAAATTTCGAAAGTAGAGACTGAGTGATACCAGACTGTCTTAACTTCCTAACGTAGTTCGTCAACCGAAATATCTTTGTAGACACTGTCATGATATGTGAAGATCAGGAAAGATGAGATGAAATATACAGTCCAAGGTATTTAACATTCGATTTGGTTTCAACTTCTCTGCCATCTATGATAATGGATCCATGAGAACTAATCAGTTCATGTAGGTGGCGCTTGCTTTCGAAAGTGAGATTAACCACCTGACATCTGGAAGGATTAGGCTTAAGACCATGTGACAGAGACCACTGACTAATTTCTGGTGAAACGTTATTCACTTTTGGACAATCCGACTGAGAAGTAACTGCCGGCATAAAAGCAGTCAAATTGCCACAGCAGATACCCTTACAAAATTGGTTTCGTCAGAATGGGGCAAGTAGGCTACGTAAGACAAAAAACAACAGAAAATGAGAAAGAACAGCACCTTGAGGAACACCAATGAGAGTAAGTGAAGCAGTGGAGGACTTCCCATAATAAAGAAACAGTTTACTGCTTCCAATCAGAAAATTAGAGATGCAACCACTGACAAATACTCGCCCTTGATACTGACTACTGATGGTGCTATATATCTGAGTTTTCGCATAGTATGATGTAGACTAGAAATCATGCGCTGCTGGATTTCCCTCTGTTGACCGAATGGTCAACGAGCTCTTCCCATATTCTGAAGGTCTTCGGTCTGACTGGTGGTGAAGTCGTGAGCATCCGCTACTGAAGATTTCTAAACTAGAAGGAAACAACTGTCCAGTACTTCCCAGCTCTCAATAATTCTCTAACAGATGTCATTTCATGACGTAACTGGATACCAGAAATAAGCAAAGATAAAGGTATCTTCTCGTCGAAGTCTACTTTCGTTTATTGATTTAACCTGAATGTTTGGTTTCTGTTGACATGGGTGCCCCTACTACCAACTCCTCGACAATGTCTGATGATTAATATTCACGTCATTTGTTGGGTGTTGATTTGCAGTAGAACCCAGAATGCGCATTTTGTCCTAGTTTAGACTCGTCAACTGAGTGTATCTGTAATCTCCCCAGTAAAAGTGATGATGTTCCCACCTCGACTCGAACTCTGAAAACATTTGTTTCGAAAGCGAAAGCCTTATCCATTAGACATTTTCAGCTACGAGATATGTAGTTCTATTAGAATATACAAAGCAATAGAAGGTGAAAAAAAGTGAATGTCAAATAATCTTAGATCACCAGTGGTTAATAATAACAGTAATAGTATTAATTTGCTTTATTCCAAGACAGTAGTACAGCGTCGATAGAGGGGTGATTTGGTAACTACCACGGGGTGCCGCCAACAATTATACATCTCATCCAACAGTTGTACAACAATGCTACATGCCAAATAATCCACAACGAGAAACTCACGGAATCCTTCGAAGTGAAAAGGGGAGTAAGACAAGCTGGCTGCCTACTATCGTCAATGATTTTCCTGATTGCGGTAGACTGGATAATGCGACAGGCAGAGGGCAATGAGGAACCAGGCATAAAATGGACTCACACAAACACTTGGAGGATTTAGAATTCGCCGACGATACCTGTCTGACTCCCCACAAACAGGAAGATATGCAAGCGAAAAGCAAAAAGTTGGCAGAAGAAGCATCAAAGATAGGACTTCAGGTGAATATAGAGAAAACAGAGGTGATAGAAATTCCTGGCCGACAGCAACAACAATAGTCAGCCAGCATAAATGGGAGAAATCTGAAAGAAGCAACCTCTTTCACCAACCTACCTGGGAAGCATCGTTTTAACTACAGGCGGACGGAACTGACGATGATATCAAAGCGGGGATCGGGAAAGCAAGGCAAACTTTCATTTCTCTCACGTCTGTGTGGAGGTCAACAGCACTCAGCATGAAAAACAAGATCCGGATTCTCAACTCCAATGTGAAGTCAGTGCTACTATACGGATCAGGGACTTGGGGCCGTGTCACAAACGGCACTTCGAACAAACTACAGACCTTCATTAACAGCTGTCCTCGCTCAGTACCACTCAAGATCCGATAGCCGGACAGAAAAGATCAGCAGTAGTGAAGGATCTCTGGCAATGTGAGAACCAACCCAGCAGGAACCGATTGTGCAACACATATGCAGGAAGAAGTGGATTGTCCATACTCTTAGAAAACAAACCACCAAGTGACTTCACACGCCGGGCCATGGCTCGAGTGGAACCCGAATGGGAAGCGGCGAGCTGGTCGTCGGTGTGAGGATGGAGTGACATGCAGGAGGTGAAAGCATGTGGGTAGACGTGGAGCCAGTTGAAAACGTTGGTGGGGGACCAAATGCAATGGAGACGTGCGGCCAAAGTTCTATGTTCCTCTAGGAAGTAAAGGAAACAATTTTAATAAACCTGCATACTCGTGGTGGCATTAGAGCCGTCTGGATATTCAATATTTCCATGTGATGAAATGTTGACGTATAAGGCATTCTCTTTTTTAGTTAGAGAAACAATTTCAAAGGGTGTATCACATAAGTAGATTAAAGATGGAAGCATGCAATCTACGACAGGTAATTATCCGCTTCCATTGGATGTTTCATCACATGTTTGAGCATATTTCAAAGTGTGTGTGTGTAGTGATATGTGTATGACCTGCAGTCTGTACAAAATTTCATCTCTTCAAGTTGTCTTGTGGCGAGAGCTGTCTGATAGCCAAAATTGGTAGACAGCAATTTACGTCAATGTTTACATCCCAAATTTTGGTCATGAGAAAAAAACAAGGACAAAGACTAATTCAACAACCAAACACAGCAGACTTAGAGTGGGCGGGTACGATTACCAGATATATGCTCTGACCTTCAAAGTAACAGCCACAAAGAGATGACAGAATAACCTTCATCAGGAAAACAACCAATCAGAAGACGTCACCTTTCTCCTAACAATAACGAATAATAACATACGTAAAAATCTATAAATATCTGTTGATTTTCTCAATAAACGATCTGTTGCCTGGCCCTTGTCTTCTGTTGTTACAGATGTACCCGATGAACAAACGCTCATTACACCAAAATAAAGTCAACAAGCATAGTTTATGTTTTCAATTTTTTGTTATATATCGTAAATATGCAGTAAGCATAACAATAATAAATAGTTATTGTTATTATTATCATTGTAAGTAGAAGAGAAACAAGATGCCTTTCTTTACAGTTTTTGTTGTTGTTTTTTGAGATTATTCACCGTTTGAGTTGGTTGACTGATCGATTTATTGATTGATTTCAACCGGTGTCTTCGGGCAATACTTTCATACAATGATGGTAATTATGTTGGTCGGCCATCATCAACATATACGTATATCAAAGTAAAATTAAGGTGTGTTTTAAACGTGTAAAACTGAAATTATAACGGTTATAATGATAGTAATAATAATAATAACAATAATGAGGTAAAGAATGAGAAAGGCGGTAAACTCATAAACTCAACCAAACGATCAATTATTTTATCAGTAGTAATAATAATTATAACAGTAGTAATGAATATCACAAACTATGTATAACATTTTATAATATATGGTGTAACGAAGTGGGAGTGAGTATACTTTGGTTAATTAACAATAAGGGTTATCCTAACCCACTGTTGTATGATTTTATATTCATCGATTCATTCATTCATTTATTGATTGATTCAGCGATCAATTTTGACCATCTATGACTTTAATTAACCATGGAATGCATATGGACTGTTGCGTAGAGCAGATGCAGCTACCGGCTCATCATTCTGAAATACAACAGAGAGAGAGAGAAACGGGAGATAAGAGAAAAAGTGTCTGGGAATAAAAAGCATCAGGGTAATTGAAACTCAGTGGGGAAAAAAGATGAAGAATCACTGATAACCTTGTAGAAAAAAATGTCAACTCAACAGCCAGTTTACATTTCCATGCAGTTGGTGTTAAGGCAAAACTATTGGATTCCATATCATCATTATCATTATTACTACTATTGTTACTATAATTCCCTTGCGTTCCAAATGGAACATAAGGATGGCTTCAACAACACATCTCCACTTTGTCCTGTTTTCTGCCTTCCTCTTCAACTGGGTCCAAGATTGACCAAATTCTCTCATCCCTTCCTCATCACACAATCTCCTCCTTTGCACCCTCGCACTGATGACACAGTCGTCGATTCCCATTTGGATTCTACTCGAGTAATGGCCTGGCGTGTGATGTCATTTGGCGGCCTCTTGACTGTATGCCCTGTCAATCTCCATTTTCTCCTACACATTTGTCGAGCGATTGGCTCTTGCTTGTTGGTTTGTTCCCAGTCAGAGTTTCTTGTTGCTAATTCTTTCTGGCTGCCCATTTGATTGTCAGTATGGAGCCAGCCAGAGAAGGTGGCAGTTGTTGATGAAAGTCTGCAACCTGTTGTTGTTATTGGGTTCCATATTAGATAAGTTTATCGTAAATGTCACACACAGTGATGATGCAGTATTAACATAACTAGATGACGAGGTTTAGAGTATAAATTATTGTCACTCATAATCATATCAATTCAGTCACACGGCTTCACAATTTGTCTTATATATATATATATATATATATATATATATATATATACATACATATATATATATATATTCACTCTCTGTCTCTCTCCATCTTCCACTTGTTGTCTGTTCCCACTTTTCATATCCCCTGTATAAGCGTTGAGTAATTTCGATTGCACATGTTCGGTGTTGAATCGATACACAAAAACTGAGTCAGTCATTAACCCCTCTCAATCTCTCTCTCTTCACTTAACTATACTACTTTTTAATACTTTCAACCTGGCATTTACAACAATCAACCAACTCTCTCAGGGTTAAACCATGTCGGCTTAAGGACCCAACAGATCCAATTAGGAAGATATATGTGTTCGAAACCTTGTCATCCAGTAAATAATACTGTTTCACTCACTGTGTGTTACATCTAATAAACAAACTAATATGGAACTATTGCGTGTTCTATTTGACTAAATTAGCGTACACGTATTTCCTAGTACTTCTTCACGTTTATCAATGTGCGTAGACGTTGTGGCTACTCGACGCCCACAACGTAAGATCAGAAGGCACTTGTGAAGAGTGTAATCGTGTATTATAACCGTAGTCAAATTTCAAAATTGTATCAAGGTAATGTTCAACAGTAAATTGACAAATGTTTACGAAGTACATATAAAATCGGTCTCTGTAAACATATAATATAAGTATGCAAATTAGATTAAAAACGTATGTTTATAGTTGGTATAGGGGTACTACAGAACCAATTAAGAAAAATAATATAATTTACCAGATATCATGTAATGACTGTTGGTGAGGTCAATTATATAGGTCAAACTAGTAGATCAGGGCCCCGTTAGCTTAAATTGTAACAACAGAAGACAAGGGCCAGGCAACATATCCTTTATTTAGAAAATCAACAGATATTTATATATTTTAATGTACATTATTATAGATTATTGTAGGCAAACAAACATAGTCTTCTGATTGGTAGTATCTCGCTGAACGTTAATCTTTCATCTCTTTGTGACCGTTTCTTGAATTTCAGATTATCTATCTGCAAGGCTGCTGTGCTTGGTTGTTGAGTTAGTCTTTGTTCTCGTGTTTTTCTCATGACCAATATTGGGAACGTACATATTGACGTTTATTAGATGTATCACACAGTGAAACAGTATTATTTACTGGATGACTTTTCGAACAAAGTTTCAAACAGATATTTGGACTTCCATTCATCCCATCCCATGTCAGTACAAATAGGATTCGTGAGATGTTTAAATGACAGAGCACAAAAACCAACTAGTACCAAGGGAAATCTAAGACAGGAAGTGATACACATAAAAGAAGCCTTGAAACTTAATAATTACCCGGATAAATTAGTCAGGAAATATGCAAGGAAATGTAAAAATAAGATAAATAATGATAGTAGCGATAGTGATAATAATAATAATAATAATAATAATAATAATAATAATAATAATAATGACCACACCAACAATAAGGAATCTAAATCATCAGTAGTAATTCCATAAAAGAAAAAACCTCAGAAACCTTACGTAGAATTCTCAAAAAGGCAGGAATAAAAATGGCATTCAAACCCCAGACAAACTCAATTAGAAACAAGCCTTGTCGGTTAAACGATCCAGTGCAGCCTTTAAAACAAAACAATTTAGTTTATCTAATACCCTGTCTGCTATGATTGTCAGGTCAAATACATAGGTCAAAGTAGTAAGACAGGGTCAGTCAGGCTAGCCGAGCATAAAACCCTAGCAGCAAAATCTAGATTAGTTGACCCGAATAAGATAATAAATCTAGAGAATAGGTCAGCTATAGCACTACATGCAGTTACACACAACCATACAATAGGATAGGATGAGATGACAGTTTTAAAATCTAATATCATAGGGTGGAGGCAGAGATTGATAACAGAAGCTTTATTTGTCGAATCAACTGCAAATACGTGTAATAGGAATGATTCAACACCTGTCCACCCAGATATCTGGAAAATTCTACTACCCCAACGACGACAAATAGGAGAGAACAAAGAAAACTATAAAACTCAAATTTCGAAGTCGTGATTATAATCGATATGATTATGAACTGCAATAAATTGCTTTGGAAACCTTGTCATCCAGTAAATAATACTGTTTCACTGACTGTCTGTGGTATATCTAATAAACAAACTAATATGGAATTACTTACTACCTGTAGTGCCCAAGTTTTACACAGATATTAGTAAACATTGACGTAAATTACTCTCTACCAATTTTGGCTAGCAGCCAGCTCTCAACACAAAATAACCTGGAAAAAAGCTCATATATTACATTGCATTTATTTGCGTCTGATCACAAAATATGGTGAGTGGGACAGGGTGAGAGTATTAAACACAGCAGAATGCTTAGGTGGAGATAGAGAGATGTTAGTCACTTAATCTCTGTTTATCGTGGGGTCAACACCGTACACGTGTAACCGAAATAACGCAACGCCTACACCGGGAGTATGGAAAGTGGAAACAAACAACAAAGGGGAGAGAGACACATACATATAATTTTCAAGTATTGGTTTTCTAGGGATTTTGTTTGATTGGATGGAGGATTTCATCACGTACTGACATCATTTAGAGAACCACTGGAAAACCTAGGAGTACTGGATAGGTGTTTCGTCAGCCTAGTTTGGGACTCTTCATCAGTACTCACCAACCTGGTCTACGAGCTCACCTTGTAACCAGAGGATCCCGGTTTCAAACCCTGGTGGTGGGTACGCACTGCTGAATAGTCCCAAATTAGGACGAAACAGCTGGCTGTCCAGTACTCCCAGGTTCTCCAGTGGTTCTCTGACTAATGTTAGCTCATGATGAAATCCTCCAACTTGGCGATTTAAAACATAGTAATATATAGTTCACTGTATTATTATATTTTATTCCTTTCAGTTCTGGGTGGAACATATGGCTTCAAACCTCAACTTTGAAGTTTCAGGACCAGTGATGATTTCCATTGGATGGGGTTGCCAGCCTCATGCCCAACTTTTCTTCTTTACCTAGCTTAATACCAGATAAGCGAGGTAAAGCAGTGCGTCTGTTGGCCGGGGGTCAAACCCAGGACGGTATGTGTGGTTGGCCAATATCCTACCACTCAATGATCGATGCACAAACCAGTTCACTGATTGGTTGAAATTTCAATTCTACCTTAATCTACAACACGGTGCAGTTTATTTGATTTTACTAAGCTAGAAATGCGTGACCATCAAAATGACATAGTCAGAATTCTCCAATTCATCGTCGTTAAAAGTGGTAACTTGGAGAACTAAGCGGAAATTTCATAAGTATCTATTTATTGGATACAACACACATAGTGAAACAGTACTGTTTACTACATGACGTTTTGAACACAATTTATTCTTCGTAATCATATCATCACCCGGTCGACAACTGCTACCTTGTCGTGATGGTCGGGTTTGAATATAGCAGTGACCCAACAAGCTAAAATGACTGGGACTTATGTTCCTGCAGGTCCTACCATGTCAGGAAGGTTGTTTCGATAGCGGTTAGACTAAAAGCAGTTACTATCGCGTATATGGGCTCTAAAATCCAATCGGATCAAATGACGTGTGAACCTGTATTGGTCACCGGCAGCTATGGGAACATAGCTCCTGACACTGCTCTGCTGCTTTGCAGATTAGTCTCCAAATCAAAGGTTCGGGAGGTGGTCCCTTAAGAAAACCACCTTCTTCGGCGTGGGTGCCCAGGCAGTATCTCAACCATCACACAATCAAACCAGCGTCGGTGGCACAGTGGTTAGGACTCTCGCCGACCATGCAAATGGTCGGGGGTTCGACCCTCTGCCGACGCACACCTGATATCTATAGTCGGCCTGCAAATTTGGGCTACCGATATCACATGCTGAAAATTCCATACCTGTACCAAAAAATACGATGTGGAATCAAGCTGTAATCAAAAACTACACAACTATTATAGTTCGCTTTATTCCCCCCTACTCGTCTTAGGAGTAGTAGAATTTTCCAGATGTCTGGGTGGACAGGTGCTGAATCATTTCTCTTGCATGTATTTTCAGTGGATTCAACAAATATAGCTTCAGTTATCAATCTCTCGCCTCGCTCTAATATATTAGATTTTAAGAGTGTATTTTTGTCGATATTTTACCAACTGAGATCAAAGATATTTCCTAGAATTCATGCCTTCAGGAATCATATAGATGCGAGAAATGGCTCCTATCAAATGAATTAATTGTCAAAGAATGTTGTCCACGCACATACACACACACTCACAAAATCTTGTTTCATCTCTACTTTTACTCATTAAACAATAATGCCTATCGGAGTACACGAATCATATCTGCAATAAAAAAGGAATTTTCACGTATTGTGTGGCGGGAATTTGATTGGTTACAGGATTTCATTATGAGTTGACATTAATCAGAGAACCACTGGTAAACCAGTACTTGAGTACTAGACATCTACCCCTTTTTTGTCCCAATCTGGAACTCTTCAGTAGCGCGAACCCACCATCACGGTTCGAACCCAGGATCCTCGTAAACCATTAAGCCAAAGAGATCCGAATTTAAATTAAAAAGCAAATATGGACTTACATTTTTCTTCTTATATAATGATGGCGTTTTTAATCCATATCTTTCTATAAAACCTTGACCAATAACTGCAGACGATCTATGATAGCTGGATCCATTTTCACCTGTTCCATTATTCGTATCATCTTGTTGATTGAATGACCATTCCATTGACTCTTTATTCCCATAATAACTTCCTTTTTGTCTACATTCCTAAAATAAATAAATATTTCTCGATTACATAGTTATTACATAATATTCCATTGATGATACGTTTAAATTTACTGAGAGTATTAAAGATTTTAATGTCTCAGACAAAGTCATGTTCTCATTAGATGTGACTTCGCTATTTACCAATGTACCAATGTATTTACCAATTGCCGACAATCCACCTCAAAGAACATTTTATTGAGATGCACGTTAAATCTTCAGTTCACCTTCAATAATGAGATTTTTAGACAGAGAGTTGGCATTGCGATGAGATCACCACTGGATCCTTTGTTTGCTGGCTGATTGTTTTATGGAAAAGCTTGAAAACTTTCAACTTAGTCAAACTATCGATCATTTTGACATTTATGAAAGAAACGTAGACGACACTTTCGTTATATCTGCGATAATAACGTAATTCTTGATGATGTCTTGTTTGCTTTCAACAACTGTCATCCTTCTTTACAATTCACCATAGAAAAGGAATCTGAACTAAGTATTCCGTTTCTTGATGTGTGCCTTAGCAGACGTAATGACGGATCTCTCAAAAGATCTGTCCACTGGAAACCTAAATGGAACGGACAACTGACTAATTTTTATGGTTGGGTGCCTATCTCGAAGAAAAGGAACCTAATTCATTCGCTCTGCTTTAGGATAAAAAACATTTGTAGTTCTGATTGCGTTGACTCAGAATTTGACTTCTTAAAACCCACGCTCGCATAAAGCGGTTACCCGAACCGATTCATTGACAGTAACACGAAAGATAAGCAGTTGAAACTGGTCACCAACTCAGTTCCAAAGAAGAACTCATTCATGAACTTGGAATTCAAAGGTGATCAAGCTTAAGATATGCTCAAAAACCGTCTCTCTAAAGCGGTCAGTAGAACGTTCTTTGCAGTAAAATTATAAATGACGTTCACCAGCCGCAAGTTGTTCTCCATCTCTGTGAGAGATAAGATCCCCCTTCTGTCCTCCTCCATGTGTATCTATCAGTTCATCTCCTCTTGTGGAGCAAGGTACATTGGCCGTAACCAGAGAACACTTTCCACACAGATACGAGAACATATTCCAGCATGGTTTTACAAGGTAGAAAGAAAGTGTGTGCGAAGCTCTATTCTAGAACACCTGATTAACTCATATCACTCTGCCAACTCTGACCATGGTTTTAAGATCATCTACCTAATCTATGCTAACTTGCCGCGTTTCATTCGTTACAGACTTGTAAAGACAGCGGAAGCATTGGTAATTCATGACTTTAAGCCAGACCTTTGTGTACGGAAGAAGTATGTACAATCCCTACTTCTGCCTTGGCCGTAGAGGTATGGACATTAATTTATTGATTTATTTTGTTTATTTAGTTATTCTATGTACCTTTCCCTCAATACTACGATTATTATTATTACTATTACTCTGAATTGTTTCCGCTTGTCCCACTTGTCATTCTAAACCCAAAATTATTAATTGTTATTATTAATTATTAATTTTTTGTATTATTTTTACAATATTGAATTCCATCTTATCAAATTTCACACCATATTATGTAACATTTTATTGCATTTGCATACTAATCCTATAATTATGCACCCCTTTCCAACATCTATACACCTTATATATTGTTCCAAATATGACATTAATTGTTTTGCTACCTGACATTTAACTATGATTAGAATCACAAATAGTTTAAATGCATTTCATACTAATACTGTTATTTTCTCATGTATTCACACCTTTGATCTAATTCCCTCACCGGATATAATTTCTTATAAAATTATATATATACAATTGTACAGCTTGATAATAAATTCCTTGTTGAAAACAGTCTCTTCGCTGAATATTGTGTTCTTAATATAAAATATTTTAGTGAGCTCTTTTATTCTTTTTTTATTTATTTTATTTTATTCCTTTACGTTCCGAAAGGAACATAGAGCTTCAGGCTAGAGATTTGAAGTTCCGGTAGCAGTGGCTGCGTTCTCTCGGAGTGAGGCTACTAGTTTCGCGCCTAACCTTCGCTCTTTACACCAGCCTCACTATCAGTTTAGCGAGATTTAGGAATGCGTCGGCTGGGGACCGAACCCTGGACAACGTGACGTGTAGCTGGCGAGCATTTCTACCGCTGAAGCACCGATTCGGTGATTGAAAGTCTTTTTCTTATTTATAGAAATGCTGTTCAGTGTCATTCAGAATACCTTTATTGTGTGTCGTACAGTCTTAAAAAAGCCATGAGGAATATGAATGTTTAGACCTAATTCCCTCCAAAAGCAGAAGCATCACATCATTTTAGGCGTTAAGAAATGCTTTCACTTGAAGATATTTTCTATAGTATTATAACTTTATTTCACCTTTAGACTGAAGAATGACTTACATGAACTGGTTAATTCTCATGGATCCATTATAATAGATGACATAGAAGTTGGAACTAAGTCGAATGTTAAATACACTGGAATTTGTATTTCCGCTCATCTTTCCTGGCCATCACACATAATATAAGTGTCTAGAAAGATATTTCGGTTGATGGTCTACGTTCAGAAGTTAAGACAGCCTGGTATTACCCAGTCTCTACTTTCTACATTTGTAAGTTCTTGTATTATGTTTATTCTTCGTTATCACTCCCCCTGAATCTCTCCCGGGCTACTTAAGAAAGACTTTGTTAAACTGCGAAGGTCACGAAAAGCCATCAGTAGGGGGAGTGGGGTGTTGCTAAACCAACTCGTTAATACTGTTGTAGATAGACACATGAACTAATGCAAGAAATATGCAAACAAATATTATCCAGTCAGACTCTGAGCATCCTCTCCACACACAATTCCCTCCTTGCTGCATTCCATAAGGTAGGGGAACTACAAGCAACTATAGAAGACTATATACTCGGACGACTAAGTATAAAAATTCTACAATACCTTATTTGACCAAGACACATTTTATGTGATGAGAAAAGTATGTAGGGCAGAACACTACCAACTTATTGCACAACACCCAGTAAATGACCCTCTTTTTTCCTTATCATTATATTGCTGTTGATATTTTCACTTAATTTAATTTTATATTCATCTTTATAAACCTCTGCAAACCCTGTTTTAATTATTACTCCTGTATTGAGTAAGTTAGATACAGTACTGTACTGTACTACATGCTGAAAATTCCCTATTTTCACCAAAAAATACCTTTTGGAATAAAGCAGTTATCATTATTAATAATTAGTTTAGTCTCCATTTAGAAAGCAGACTAGTAGGCATTTTTGGTTGAACAATAGTACTGGTTTTTGTAGTATGTAATAGTAGAAACAGTGTGTATGAGAGCGAAAGAGATATGTTCTTTAAATGTTCTTCATTTCATTTTCAGTGCAAGTGGGTATTGTTCTGTAAAATTCAGAAGGAAGTTACTTCTTTTATTTTTACTTGGCTGGGTGACATCATTTCGACCACAGGTGGCACATATCAAGATGTCAAAGCCAAGCTTTATTAGAAAAATAAGATAAACATTTTATTACTTTGAAATCAGTATGGCAATAAGTAATAAGATCTGAATCTTCCACACTAATGTCAATCAAGTTAATACTTCTTTATGGATTAGAGACTTCATGTGTGACTAGCAGAATTGTCTACATGGTTCAGACTTTCATCACCAGCCACCTTCACTCGGTATCGAAGACCAAATGGCCGACCTAGAAAGGGTAAGCGACAAAGAACTCTGCCAACACACAAACCAAGAACCCATCGTCTGACAAATATGCATATGAAAATGTACTGGACATATGATGAAGAGACCGCGGATTGACGATGCACTGCAGGCCGTCAAAAGGGGACTGAATGGAAGATGACGAGTTGAGCTTTAGTCCATGAATGAAAACACGGAGGAGAACATGTTAAGTGGAAATGAAAGTTTATGAGCTATCGTAGAGCCAGTTGCAATTGACTGAAGAGAACAGGGTAAAGTGAAGATGGGCTACTGAAGCCGGACGTTCCACTTGGGGCACAAGGAAATAACAATTTTACTCTTGTTTGGAGTGTTTATGCAGTGTAATGGTGGGATGTTGGCCATCTATAGGAGTGGAGGGATACACGTCTGATTTTCAGCCGACTAGCCTCTTAACCTCGTCTCGGTCGGTCGGTCGGTCGATTTTCGACATAGAACTTTGCGCATATGTGCGGCAGTTCAAGTCGCCACACTCCATGTAGCACACAAAGCAAGAGAAGAAAGTAGAAGAAATGCATATTAGAGACGGTAAACAGAGGTGTGAGACAAAGGAATAGTAATAACGAAGAACAAAACAGTCTCATTAGAAATCGTCTAACCACAGTATGAAGCCTAGAAAAGAGAGAAGGTTGTGTATGAGGCATCACTAGTGACATTTCACAGCTTGAATTTCTGTGTTTCTCTCGGAATGCAGGCAAAACAAGAAGCTTATTGGGTCAGACTTATAAAGGCATGTCTCTAGCAGCTATTTGTATGTTTATCTCTCGATGTGTGTGTTGGATGTGAGTCGTCAGATGATCATACTGTCTTGGAAGCAGTACTTATAAGATTCCCCGACTTTTCAACAACTCTAAAACAGTTGAAGTTAACAGGATATCATTTGGATGTCGATAGAATTTATCATGAACTGAACAAAATGTGTCCGCTTTTGCTGTATTCTCTAAAATTCACAGCGAAGTTAGAACTGAAGATGTTGTCCAGAAAGATAATAAGAGCTTCGAGATCAAGACATCGCCTAGCTCAAAGGACACAACACTGACAAAAAAATCCACCTGGACTACAAATCTACTCTATTAAACGAAAAATACGTAAGCATATATTTGTATTCCGAACTTTGTTGTAAAATGAAATTATGTGTTAGATAATTTTTTCTTCGACTGACACCTAGAATATTACCAAATGCATAACATAGTGGCGACATTATGCTTTATTTAACCAGTAAACGGGTGATTATCATGAAGATAGTAATGAGATCTGTACTTCATAGAAAGCTAAATGAAGAATAATTTTTTCGATTGAACACTAGTCAGTAACTAATGTATGGTGTATGTCTAGTCCTATCTTGGGTGCAGACTGAATTCTTTTGGTCAAGTTTGCAATGTGGTCACCATGCTAGGTGGCCCACCATCACGGTGCGCTATGATTTGTCGATATTGGACGGTTTAAGGCAATCGGCAAGAAGCTTTGGACCTAGGTTTCATGCTAGTTGGTATTGACCAGTCAGCAAGGCATATCTACAACCTCAAAGGAACTCATGTCTCTTCTGAGATTCGAACCCACGTTTTGCTGAAACGGAAGTATATTATAGTATTCTGAATGGTAAAAAGTATTAAAATGTAGATAGATTGTTGGATTTACACACAGTGTAACTCACAGTGTACAAACACAAAATCTGTACCTAGTGCTACTTTTCCCGCGCTTTTGAAGTCCTCCAAATCTTCAAGTGGAACTCAAATTGAGAGTCATGATTTGGTTGTATGAAGGTCGAATGGAGGAGAATAATGTGAAGAGGGCCGTTATAGAACCGACTGAAAGTAATGACGAACAACAAAGTGTAGTGTGGATGTGCCACTGATGCTTTATGTTCCACTCAAAGCACAAGGAAAAGCTGTCACATGAGATGGAATTCTAGTGATTAATAAAGCTGTTCTCCTCAGAAATAACAAGTTAGGTCTCTAAGGCTGAATTATACAAGTTTAAAGTTTAAGAGCCTAGGTTAGACAACCTATACAGAGGAGATCATCTATTGAACTTTGTTATCTTGCGATAACGGCTTTAGTGGCCTCCTACAGGTTGTCATTCCTCTCGCTATTCACAAGGCTTACGAATGGATGGCAAGGCGGAGAGATAGTCAGCCTATGAAGTGGCGCCGAGGGATGAAGGACGCTTGTGTTAGATTAGCATCCATTGGTCCATTATAAACCCCTGAGTAGGATCGGAGAGATAATTCGAGTCAGTGGCTCGAGATGTTATCACATATGGCCAAGAATTGCAATCACTGTCAAACATGCTGTGATTTCCTCATTCCCACCCTTTCTGAAAGTAACACGAAGTAATGATGAACTATCCTTTGAGTGATCTTCAAAAGTATGCTGACTTGCTTTCTAAACGACATCCCACATTCATTCTATCCTTATTTTTCTTATATATTGTCGTTTAAATATTTTCTGTGTGGCTTATCTCTCGATGCCTACTATGTATCAAGTTTGTTTTGTATTAATAATAGTGATAAACTCCTATGAAATCCCAAAAAAAACTCATATATATTTACTTACTTTTAGTTCTTGAGCAGAGTATCTTGGGAAATCCTGTTGAGTGATACTTTGAGATCTTGACTTTAAACGTTGTACGTTGGGTGTTTCGTCTACAATCCTTCCATTTCGCCTATGGTACTTTTCTGAGCCAATCCCTTCATCTGGATCTGTATGCCAAGGTGCATTGATCATTCCTCTTCTATGTTCTTTACTACTTTTCGGTTTTTCTGGTGTTTCAAGGAGAAACGAGTCTTCATCAGTTTTATATCTATCCAATTCTCTTTTTCTAGCTCTTTCTTTAGCCGCTTGAATCAGGTGTTCTACTCCACTGGTATCCTTCAAATTCTTAAAATTGTTTAAATTTATTGTTAGAGAATTAACTTTATTCTCTTTGAACATAGTCATAATAGTGTCAAATCATAAGTAAATGTCTTATATTCAACTTACTTTTTAAAGTGGGTGGCTTTCCCTTAACTGTAAGGCAAAACTGTCGCAAGTAATTATCTACTATACATGTGAAATTATATAAACTCTTGAAAAGTGACAAATAAACTTTAGTCACTCTTGTCACTTCGTCTTTTGCTTGGGTTCTTAGAAATCGACATGAACGTCTACGAACCTTTTGAAATCTATGCCTCAGTCTTATTGTTAACTCCCATCTATTGGAGCTTGGTGTTTAGTTTAAAACGGTTTCTTTTGCTGTTGATTGAGTTATTGATTCGAAAATATAACCCCACTCCTGGTGATTTACTCAAAACATAGATAAGCACATGATCTGCAAAAACAGTATCAATAACTCTAGTAGCATGACATGGAACCCAAAAATAGTAAAATTACAAGTCAAATTTCTAAGTAGGCCCTTATCATGACTTTTTTCGAAACTAAACCAAAACGGTATAGAAGTAACCAGTTACCTGGAGAAGACTTATTATAGGGGATGAATATTGATAATTCTATCCAGTCAACTAGGCTTTATTTTAAATGAGGTGGAACTCAAATACAGGAAGGGTTTTCTGAAGGTGCAGTGCTTAATTACAACAATATGCCGCACAATCAAGTTTATAAATAGTCCACCTAACAGTTTTAGTTGTTGAGTTGAACGTTAATTGGTCGGAATAGCATAAGTAAAATGACCTTACTGTTTCTATTCCACAATTAAGTTATGTTTATCAGACGAAATTGCCTAAGTTCATCACCATGAATTTAGATTTACCATTACTTCTCATCTATACTAAAAGTCTCTCGAATAACAAATAAAATGTCTTACTTTTTCAGAGTTTTAAGTCATTGTTTGTGATTCACAAATGACATGAAATTAGGAAGAAAGTGAGGCATTTCTCCTCGAATTTCTAACTGTTTTATCAAACTCGATTCATAGAAGCAAAATATGATCTGGCAAAAATGACCTGCGGTTAAATGATGATCAACTCAAAGTTGAAATTATGTTAGAGCATTCTATACTGGATGGGAGCTTTCGGAGTAATTCGGAAGTCAAGAAAGTTCGTGGAGAAAAAATATATTTAGGGGAGGCATGACGCACTTAGCAGTGTATACCTTTGGTCTTCTATCAGCCAATCTATATGAGTTGCAAAATTAAATTTATTATTACATTCAACTCAAAGCATGAATGGAAGAAAGTGATTATTAACCGCCATTATTGGCATTCATCCGTTTTGTTTGATGTGATAATTTCTATTCTGTATTATTTATCACCACTATCATTCTGCTAATATTCCATTGTATCATGCTGAGTTTCTAAATCATATTTTGAAGAGCTCTTGTCATCCTGTCTTTTCACTTCTTTGTAAAGGCAGTGATGAGTGAAAAGCCACTGAATAAGAAGGACGGACGCATAACCGTTTTGTTTTTTTTACACAAAAACAAAACCACGACTTACTCATTGCTAAAATGCCTGTCAGAAGAGTCCTCTAAGTGGACCTATTATTAAGGCTTGTATCCTTGGGTTAGTAACTGCTCAAAATATTCATGCCTTTACCAGGTTGAAGTGAGTTTTGGAGGTTAACATTTCTATTGGATGAATAACTTGTGGTTATATCAATATTCCACAATAAGTGTTAATCTCCACGGCTTAAGTGAGCATGTTTAGTTCAATACATTTGTTTCATCACGTGACTCACTGTCAATTTGAGTTAGTTTTTTCAAGCAACATAATTACCCACCTTGATTCAAAAAGATGCTAAATAATCAATCTATTCTCTGGGTTTATGCATATAAATTCATATATTGTTCGCCTAACCTTTTGTATCTAGTGATAATCACAATCATTTCAACATTTAAGTTTACATTAGGCATCCGATAATAAATTATACTTACACCAACTTTGAAATTTCTAGTCAAACAAAAGTGGCCTATAAATTACATCACAGCAAAAGATAAAGAAACAGTCTGTGTGCACTCACTTCGTTATGTCTTTCGTGGAAATTTGAATCTAAGCTTTCATCCGTCCTGTAATTATCTGCTTCATCATCTGCAGATAGAACAGATGTAAATTTTTCCGTGAAAGAAATGACTAACTTTTTTCAACTTTTGAACCATTCACGGGTTCTTCTCTGTTTCCGTTGCCATTACAAGTTGAATATTTATTATCTACTGTGTGGTTTTCTATGGGAGCCTAAAATATCTATAAAGTGTTGTATCTTATCACTTTTCGGATATCTTGACTACTGCGTTCTCCCACAAGCCGATCAACCTCCTTTTCATTCTGAATTAACTAATAGAGTGCTTCACAAATTACGTACATGGTTTTGGTGAATTTTCGGAGTTTCACGACCATTATTCATTCCATTATGTACAACATAACTGCCATTTACTGGATTCTTAATGTGCTCCTCAAAATATTGCGGTTCATTTTCTGAACCGAATAAGGAGGTTCTTCTGTGTGCTTGATTAAAATGTCTTCTACCTGATCCTTCGTTACACAAATTAAATTTACCTCTTATTTCCTCTGAGAATGAGACTGGACTTCTTGTGTTGATCACTGTAGTCGACAGCATTAAAAAATTTCGGCGTATGTTTTTCAACCAGCGAAATGGTATGCCTCTGACTCGACAATGTCCTTCTTATCAATTTGTGTTCGACTTCGAATTCCCACCAAACTTACTGTTACTATACCGACTCAGATACCAATTTCAATATTGGATATTAAGTGATAGTATATTTCAAAGCCTTATTAGTCCTTTCAATAAGGCACATAATGGAGGTTAAAATATGGTTTGAATGAATCACCTGGAGGCACCAAATTTAGTGGTTATTGTGCAAGAAATAAATTAGATACGCAGCAAATTAGACCGTAATTCTGAAAATTTAGGGTGAAATCCTCTCATTTCTTTCGTCTCTGGATGGAAGAAGCAATTAGGATGGGCCAGCATAAGGATGATTAGGGTATGATGCTAGCATGATATCACCTTCAATGGCCCTGAGAATAATTTGCAATGTTTCTAGGCCCTCCACAACCTGAATATATACATATATGTGTATCCAATATCCAATATCGTTTTTACGAGCTAATATAAACCAATTTGATTTCTTCGTGCTCGCCTCTTGATTATGAGGTATAGGTTACTGATATTCGATGAACTTCTGCGTATCTCGTCCCGCCACTCGACTGTCGTAGCTTTGGTTGACTCCAAAAGGAGTAGTACTGGGATTAATTATATGTGGTTTGTAGTATGAGGTGTGTTAAGACTGTTACTACTGTGAATGGAGTTGATCCTTTCACCAGTTGGTCCTTCGGTATCGTCGTCAATAGAAAAGAGATAATAATAATAATAGACATAATTAGTGAAGTTATTCAAACTAACAGACAGAAAAAGAAATAACGAAAACGTAAAAGTAGACAGCTGATTGAATTTGAGGTTGTTATATATACATATATCGGTAATAATAAGTGAAGGTAAAGTTGTCAGGAGAGCAAGACGGGAGAGAATGTAAAGAAGTAAAACGATGAACTTAATTGTCTACTCCCGAAAGGTGTATGCGATTTTAAGGGGATAAGCCATTTGGACGCAGTCGTTGTGTAGCCGCATGGTTGTCCATGGTTGTTCTCTTGAAGGCGTCCACATACGATGTCATAGCTACATCTGCCGGCAAGGAATTCCAGGGACGGAAAACCCGCAGTGAGAAGAAATGGGAGCGTGCCCGTTTCCTTGCCCTCTGCTGAACTATCCTTCTTGGATTTTCACGATGAAGCCTACACCTACTCGATGGCAGAACACCTTTGTTTGGGTGATTCTGGTCATTTTTATCTTGTAGGCAGTAATCAAATCCCCCCTTAGCCGACGGTAGCTGAGTGTGAATAGGCCTAATTTCTTTAGCCTTTCATCATGTCGTTTATTTTGGAGACCAACCACTCCTTTTGTTGCCCGTCTTTGGACTATTTCCAGGAAGTTTGCGTCTCTTCTAAGCAGTGGGGGTGCAATAATATTATGCACTTCAAGGTGTGGTCTGACATATGTTTTGTACAACCTTAGAAATGGCTCAGGAGTGAGTGTACCTAACGGTCTACGTGTAAAGTGCCCTCGCTACGTCCCTCATGTATTATACTCTTGTGTCCATTTATTCCGTCAAAACTAGACCTAAGTCTCGCTCCGACTTTTTGCAGGAAAAGCTTTCATTGTACAGGGTGTTACTTGCATTCTACAGTCTATGGGTGCGTAACTTCAATACTTTGCACTTTTTCAGGTTGAAAGTCATGCCACTGGGCACCGCCCAGTCTTCCAGAAGCTTTAGATCTGCCTGCAGCCTATCTGCAGCTGTATCTAGTTCTTCAATTATTCACCGTGTAGTTTGTCTAGCAAACTTCCAAGCTTGGGCTATTTAATGCGCCCACTTCCTTACGCACCTTGTGCACTGGTGTCTGGGTTGTTGACTGTTACTTGTGGATATATTTCTTCATTCACTTAGAGTGTGTTGCTATCTAAATAGACAGGTACTCGTTTGTCTATTCATGGCAATATCTCGTCAAATCGCAGCGTTTCCAGAGCTGTGTAGCTACTCTAAAAGCTCCTTAGAATGGGGGAACAAGAGGTGGTCACATTTTGTCACAACTAATATATATGTGGGAAGTAATTAAAGAGGCGTGCGGCTCTTGATTTTGCATGTAATTAAATCAGCCTTGAGCCAGTCATTAGCAAGGGAAATATGTCAACTTGTGTGGCCTGACAAAGAGTGCTATTACCCGCATTTAGACTGACAGGATCACATGGACTTATTGGAGTAGTTTTGAACACCGTTTTCTCTGATTAGCATTTGGCATCGGCACCGATAAATGTCTGGACGCTAAGTATTATCATTGTGAGAAACTTTATCCAGTGATTCAGTTAGGAGTGAGATATTAACTCCGTCGATGGAACCCTTCCCCTGCTTTTCTAGTTTAAGCGTAGTCT